AGACCATGAAACTGGGAATCTTAAAGGCAAAGCATGTGATCAAACCCTCTGAGCTATCTTTCTAGTCCTCTGTAAAATCTTAACACGCTAAAGGTTGTGTGTTCATGGGCTCTCTGGACGGCTCTGTCTCTCCGCCCGCGCCCGCGTTCAGTGCTCTTGAGTCACTGTGTGTGGCCTGGATCAGTATAGCTGTTCTCTCTCTCAAGCTTGAGCCCCTCTTGCTCTGACTCTGGATCTCTCTCGCCCAAGCCTACAGTCTTAGTTTATATAGCAATCATGTAAGGCAGTGACACAAAGGTGGGTTGAACATTAACAAATCAACAAAGAGAGGTAATACAACTCCTCCAGGATTTTAACTCAAGGATAAAATCTCATCTAAAGAGATTATTCCAGATTACTAGGAGATCTGCTCAAGGGTGGGATCCCAACAAGGGTGTGTTCTTTCCTCAGCTAGTAATCTACTTAAATAGTTGTAGTAAATCTACTTCTAATATTTCTATCAATGTCATTCTGTATGAGCACAGTAAGGGACATAAATTTACAGTTTGGTTCTTCTTGAGGACATCTCACTATATATTCCCCAGTCCTTCAGGCCAGGTTAGTCTTCCTAGCACCAGCAGGATCTTAGTCTCGTCGTTACTTACTTTTGGATCATGACAGCATTTGTCCATGATCATGCTCTCAACTTATAGTTGAGTATCATGGCACCTTGGCCTGGCCCATTTCAATGCCAGGGTAGCTCACAGCTTGGCCTGGATCCATTCAGTCTCTCATTGGACCCTGCTTTTGGGGTGCTAGGAACTAAGGGCAACTGAGTCAAGAAAGCAGATGCCCAGGAGTAAATATTATTAGGAGTCAATCAACTCCCAAGCTACAAAGCATAATATTAACTGTCTTCCTTGTGTCCATACAGAAAGGACATTGCTTTAAGGTAAACAATTCAAAAGGCATAAGGAGAGGAGAAAGGCAGTATTAACTTATAATACAAGTTCAGTGCTGTGGGATGAGTGTGACCCGATAAACGTAAGCTACCTGAGGAAGGACAAAACAGTGTTATCCTACAGTCCTCAAGCAAAGGGCTTAATGCCCTTCTCACTTCTGTACAGAATTATATCTGTCTTCCTCAGTTGTAGCAATGGCCTAGGTAAACGTGGTCCTCTGGTAGTAGACCTTGTGTAATCCATTGATTTAATAAAGGGTGGTACTGGAAGAGATGCCATTTTGGTGTTAGTATGATCACCAATAAAAAGAGTTGGAGCAACAATAAAATCTTTTTTTTTTATTTGAGGTGGGGGGCAGTCACACCAGGCCATGCTCAGTGGTTACCCCTGGCTCTGCACTTAGGAACTACTCCTGGTGGTGCTTGGAGGACCATATGGGATATTGGGGTCAAACCTGGTTTGGCCATGTTAAGGCAAATGCCCTACCCACTATACTATCACTCCTGCCTTCAACAATAAAATCTTGAAAGAGGTGTTATTTTCCCAAAAAATACCTTATTTCATTAGCCTCCCTGTAGTGCTTGGGGAACCATGCAGTGCCAAGGACTGAACTTGGGGCTCCCACATATTAATCATGCACCCCAGAGCTTTGAGCCATCTCTCTAGATCATTTTACCTTCTAAAGTTATTATTTTCCTTATATTTATAAACCTTTGGTACTAATATCTATTACACTAAAGTTTCTCATAACTTTTGTGATACCTGTCATAAGTTCCTTGACTACATGCATAATGATCTTCTGAGTAGGACACCAACTTGCTTGCTCTATATCTTTGCAAATGCCCAAGAACAATGTCTTAATTCAACACTTTGCAAAGAGTATCAACCATAACCACTAGCATCAGCATCATTTGATAAGTTATGAATACAATGCTCAGGTTCCACTTCAAACGTATGGAATCAGAAACTAGGACACAGCCCAAACATCTGTGTCTTAACCAGCCCTCTGGATAATACTAAGCATTGCTTTAGGATTGTACATTTCATAATGAAAATGAATCACACAAGAAAGCAAAATTTGATTCTTTGAATATATAAACACACACGTATTGAGACTGTATATTCCACAATGGATTGTTTGCAGCTTCTGAAATAAGAACAAAACAGTGCCAAAGATAGCCCAATACTTTTCTGGTTTGTCCTCTGGGCTATTAAAAACTATCTCTCTCACCCAAATGGCAGCTAAAGTGACTTTTTTCTACACACTAAAGGTATACTTTCTAGAAGCATCTTATTTCTGAAGAATCACTTGTGAAAAGAATTTGTAGCTCTATCTTAATAATGTGCCTACTGGAAACTAGATATGAGATTCTCACTAATCTCCCTCATAGACAGCTACTGAAGAGGAAAAATGTGAATCATTTCTCTATTCCTCTCTAGGACTTGGTTTTCTGTTCTTTAATCTCTGCTCTTTACTTTTCTTTCTTACTTTCTTTGATCTTACATTGACTTAACCATTTTCTTATAGAAACTGCTTTAGCTATATTTTAAAGGTCTTGATCTGTTAGCATTCAGATCTGATTATTTTCTACTCTCCCTTAAGTCTTCTTAATTGGCCCCTGAAAGTAAAGTTTTTAGTTTTTTAATCTTATTTCTAACCTAATAATCAGAAAGTGAAATGTTCATTATCATGGAATGCAAACTCTGCAAAGGGCCAAAGAGCAAATATCTTAAGACTCTGTTAGCCAAACGTCTGGTTTTTTGTTTGATTTGTTTGAGGGTCACACCCAGTGGTATTGGAGGGTTGCTCCCAGTGTTAAGATTTACTGTAACCTTACGTGTAGGGGGAAATTTTACATATATAGGCCTTACCTATTTCATGTAAACTCCAAAATATATTAGCATAGAATTTCTTTAAAAGTTTTATTAATGACAAGTAAAGATATGATTATTACCATAATGAGATTCAAGGATAAAATGAAACTTAATGTAATATACTTTAGATTCCAGAATTGAAATTTTCCTTATGTAAGAGAATAGGCCTTTTATTCTATTATTTTCAGTGGTTTTTAATTACCTTATTTGCATAGCAACTGAGAGTATCCCACCAGTATGACAGAGCCTGGCAAGGTTCTCGAGGCATATTTGATTGGCCAAAAACAGTAACAAGTCTCACAATCGAGACATTACTGGTGCCTGCTCGAGCAAACCGATGAACAATGGGAGGACAGTGCTACAGTGCTACATAGGTTAAAATCATATAATAATAACAAATTGACTCTTAATGATTTATTATATGACCATTCTATTTTTTATTTATTGAAGTTTTGTTTGAACAAGCAATATAGAGTAAATTTGATATGTGCCTAAAGGAAGCAGGTGGGGACTGGGAAGTAAACTAGGGAAATTGGTGAAGGTAAGGTCACATTAGTGGTGTTGGAACACTAAGTGCTTGAAACAACCATATGATGAACAACTTTGTACATTATGGTACTTTTTAATAAAAAAATTTTCTTTGAAGATTTACTGTAGCCTAAGTACATGAAGATTGTAACAGTCCATGCATGCTCCAAAACCAATTCTCAAAACACTGGTCTGCTCTAATCTTGAAGGTTCAGGCCGAGCTTGCATGTACATTTGCTTTGTTCAACTGTCATGGCAATATTGACACTAACGCTGATCCCTGGGGCCAGAGGTAGAACCGCCTGTAGGGCTCTCTTGCATTGCACGGGGCTGTCCCTGGTTTGATTTCTCCCACACCCCATATGGTTCCCAAAACCCTCCCAGGAGTGATTCCTGAGCACAGAGCCACGAGTAAACCCTGAGCACCACCAGATGTGATCCCCTCCCCCCACACAAAAAAAGAAAAAACAAAATTGAATCAGCCGGATCTCATCTGTCAGCTGTCACTGGGTGATGTGAGGGTGTGAGGGCAATTCCCGACACTTCTTCGTGTTCCACACCTGGAAGTGGAGAAAGCAACAGGGTTCTACCCTGTGCAGCTGGCAACACAACAGGATTTCAGTGAGATAATCCCCATCACAAGGAGCTGATCTAGCGAGACTCCAGTCGTGATACAATTAGAAGTCAACCAAGAAATCGATTATGTTTAGATTAACTTGGCGGACATCTGATCAGAGCTAAGACGCTGCATCCCACGGGACAACTTTCATTTCCTAAACCCTACATTTTAACATGCGGAGAACTGTCCTTCTGCGGGGGGGACAGGTGCGCTCTAAGATCCCCGGAGTTGCCAGGGGGACGACTGGGTAATGACGCAGGTTTAGTCCGTCGGGCAGCGCGAGAGGGTGCCCCGAGTTCAGGGAGAGCTCTCAGAGCACCCGACTTCGGCGCCAGGGTGCCAAGCCTGAAGCCCTGGGCACACACTTTCCCTGGCTTTGCCCTTCCGAGGAGACGGTGTCACCCAGCCCACGCAGACCGTCACCCGCCTCGCGGCTCCCACCACGGCTGTGCCCGGCGCTCTGGCTCTGCGCGCTCCACGCGCAGGGAGCGCCTCGCGCCAGAAAGAAACGAACACCCTGACAGAACCTCGTGGCTTAAAAAAAAAAAAAAAAAAAAAAAAAGGAAGAAAGCGCCACCAGTTATCACTCGGAGACACATCAATCACCACCGTGACTGCTGTGGCGGCGACGAATTCCGCCTCTTTTCCAGCGCCCAGAACTTCCCTCCACCGCGACTGTGGGAGCCCCCTGAGGAGCCCGAGAGCGGAGCCCGGGCGGGGCGTTGGAAAGAAAATGTTAAAAAAAAAAACAAATAAACAAACAAATAAAAAAAAATAAGTTGTAAGATCACCATTTCGCTGAGCCTAGAAGTCCTCAAAGCGCGGCGGATCCTGTGACAAATCACAAGGGTTTCCCTCCGCCCCGTGGGTGACGAGAAGCTCGTGACTGGAACCTGAGCGCTGGGCGGGGCTGAGGGGAAACCGGGGGGGCGGGGCCGCGAGTCCGGAACGCGAAGGGGAGGGGGGGGAAGCAAAGCCCCCGACGGGCGGCGCGTGCGCACTGCGCCGCCGCGGGACCTCCTTCCCGCCGCCGCCACTCGGAAGCGAGCCGCCAAATCTGTCCCCGCGCAGCCGCCGCCGCCGCCGGGCGCCGAGCCGAGCGGCCGCCCTCCCTGAGGCGCGCCTGCGCACGTTCCCACGCACGCTCCGGCGTACGGCGGCGGCCAGGGGTCGCGAGCCGGTGGAGCACCCGCGCGCGGAGGAGCCCGGGGAGTCAACGCTTCTTTTCCCTCCCTCCCCCCCATTCCCCTCCCCGCTCCCTCCCCCCCCTCCCCGAGAATGTTCCGCTACGAGGTGAGCTGTTGCGACCGGAAGTGACCCCTCCCTCCCTTGCGCGCCCCTCTTCCTTTCTCACCCCCCCCACCCCACCACCACCACCACCACCACCACTGCCCACCCCACCCCATCCCACCCCCTCGCGGGCGCATCGGTCCCGCCGCGCTCGGAGTTGCTGGAGAGTTGGGGGGTGGGGGTGGGGGTAACTGGGGTGAGGTGAGGAGGGGCGGTCGGTAAGACGCGCCGGCAACTGAACCGAGCACGCCCGTGGGCCTGGGGGGGTCGGGAGTGGGCTGGGGAGTGGGGGGTGGTCGGTCTCGGCTTTCCTCTTCCAGGGACGGTAAGCTGGGATCAAGGGGCGGGACTGCCCGATCGGTGGCCCCCGGAGAAGAGTTGGCTTGTTGTTTGGGGGTGGGGAGGGCCCATGAAGTGCGCTGACGAGGAACACCCCCCTCCCCCCTCCCCAGCCCTCGTCCACACTGCCCTACCGCACACACACACACACCGCCCGGCGGTGTCTTCCCCGAGGAGAGTCGCGGAGGGGAGCGCGTTGCAACCCACCCGGGACTCCTGCGGAGCAAAGAAGGCACCGGGGAAACCCCAGAGACGTGTTTCCCGCCCAGGACCCGGAACCGACTTGGTTCCGATTGCACGCACGCGCTCACACACGCACACACACACGCGCGCACACACACACGCGCACACACACACGCACTCATAGTTAGCCTGCGCCGGTGGGCTCTTGGACTTGGCCCTGGACGGCGACCCGAAGACCCCCCGACCCCCACCGGGGGGCTCCGGGTGGGGAGGGGGGCGTGTCCTGCGCGGTCCCCGCGGTCCGGGCAACGAGGTCCGTCTCACGCGGGTTGGGTGCGATCGTGCCCGGGGATGGAGCAATCGACGAGAGCGAGCGGGAGAGGGCTGACCCTGCCGACCCATTCACGGTGTGACCTTGAGCGACGCCTCGTCTCGGGACACACAGTTTCTGGGTTGGTACCTTGAAAGGGGCAGCGGGTGTCCGAGGGTGCTGCCCGATTGCAAACAGAACACCTGGGTGAAGAGGACCCTTGGCGGGCTGCAGGGGGGGGGGGTTGAGGGGCTCCGCCTTCCAAGTTGGAAGGGGTGGTACCCTGATTGTGGCGGTTCCGGGAGCGCTTTGGATGCGCGTAGTGGCTAAGAGCTAGCCGCCCCCCCCCCCCCCCCCCCGCCCCATCCCGCCTTCCCGGAGATCCTGGAATTGTAATTCTTGGAATACGAAGAATTGCAAGCGCACAGATCCTTGGTCTTTGATAGGGACCTTTTCAGATGAAACTTATTTCGATGATTTGTAAATCAGAGCTGAGATAGGCAGTGGTTGGAAATTGCAAGTGTGTTGGAAGTTAAACTGGCGGAGGACAGTGGTTAAAATAGGCCATCGCTGGGTTGTTATGGTGACAAGTGGCGTCGTTCAGTAAGTCTTTGCTTCGTTTGTTCCTCTGAGGTGAGGCTGAGGTTTCAGAACCTAACACGGGGCTGTGACACAATAGGAGCTCCAGAGCCATTCATCAGAAAGAATGTAACGGGGCCCAAGTTTGCACACGCCGCCTCCACGGAGCTTTGAGTTTGCTATGAATTTGCACGCCTCAAAGAGGGAGGCCCCGGACCTTGAATTTTTCCCAAGAGTTCTCATTTAGTTGTGGGTGAAAATGTAACTTTCTGATGTTACCACTGGAACTTGGGCTGTAGGAAACAGAAAGAAAAACGAAAGGGGAAACTTTAAAAGGAAATAGTACAGTGGTTGAAAAGATGGGCTGAATGGGGAAGATGAGAGTTTTGTTGGAAGCTATTCATGTAATTTAAGCGAATTAATAAGGTGGTCGTTTTCACTTGTCACTAATATCTAACCATGAGTTAATAGGATATCGGGGGCCTGATTTCATGAAGAAATGTTATTTTTAGATTCTTGATGAAGATAGATAATTTGGGGGGAAAGGGTTCATGAAGGAAGGAATAATCAAGAGAAATTCTCAGATCTTCCAGTCTCAGGGAAATTGGAGTCTGGAAAAAATTCTGTCTTTACAAAAAGTCATAATGATATTATTATGTTGATAGGGGAGGTAAGGTGAACATTTTTAGAACTTTTTTTAAATGAGGTTGTGAACTTCATAAATAGATTGTCTCTTTTCTCCTATTTTTTAAGTCTTTGGAGGATTGCCCTCTGGATGAAGATGAAGATGCTTTTCAGGGCCTGGGAGAAGAAGATGAAGAGATTGATCAGTTCAATGATGATACATTTGGGTCAGGTGCAGTTGGTAAGTACCATCTTTCTCTTATAACAACATCTTGGTTTCTTGCTTTTTTTCCCCAATGGTCACTTTTGTCAGTAATGTTATCTTGATAGATGTAACCTTAGTAATTTGACAGAGTATCCTCTTCCTGAACTCCCTGGTTTTGGGCCACACCCAGCAGTGCTCAGGGTTTATTCCTGTTTCTTTACTCAGGGATTATTCCTGGTGGGCGTGGGGGGCCATATGGGAAGCAAGGAATCAAATCCAGATCGCCTGCATGCAAGGCAAGCACCCTAACTGCTGTACTCTCTCTAGCCTTGGTCACCTTGATGTCTTAATCAGAGCAATCTTATTTTTATTAGAAGCATCTACCCTACTCCCTTGGTCCTCTTTTTTTTTTTTTTCCTTCTAAAGGTAGATGTTCCTTCAGGCCTTTTCCTTCAGCTGTATTATCTATTACTCTAAGTTGACACTATAATTAATTCCAGTGGTTAGAGATGATGTGTTGTTGTTTGGGGGGGCCACACCCAGCCAGTGCTTAGGGCTTACTCCTGGCTCTGCACTCTGAGATCACTCCTGGCAGGTGATCTCAGTGCCTAGGAGAGGAAGAAGAGATTGATCAGGGAACCATACATAGTGCTGGGGATCGAACCCAGGTCACGTACATGAAAGGCAAGCAACTTCCCCACTGTGCTGTTAGATGTTTTACCAACTTTTAAAATAATTCCCAAAGACAGACATTTCTTCTTGTGGTATGAATAACTTTAGAGAAATCATTGGACTAGGAGAAAATTCAGATTTGGTTTAAATATATGTTTTAAAATCATATGTTTCAAATGCACTTGATCATTAGTATATTGCATGCTACCGTTTTATAGTATTTTCAATAGAATAAGATTTTATTTTGAGAATTTTGATAACAAGTTCATATTTTACAAAACTACTGTTCAGAGATTTAAAAAAAATTCACATTCCTGAGACAAGAGAGAGAAACTTTAATGGGCTGGAGCACATGCTTGGCATGCAGGAGGCTTGGGTTTGTCCCGACCATCACATTGTCCCTTGAGCACTGACCAGGGAGTAACTCCTGACCTCTACCAGATATGGCTCCAAAATGACAACAGAGTCTTTATTCCTAAATATAAATAAATATTCTCACTTCCGAAGCACATACTCTAAAATTGGAAAGATCGAAAATATTAGCATGACCATTGCGTAAGATTGACGGGAAAATCATGAAGTATCCCAGGGCAAAATAATTATTTTTAGAAGTTGGGAAGGATTAAAACTTAAAAAACAAAAGACACTAAACTTACCACATACACAGTTAAAATCATTGAGATGGGAAAATTAGAAAGCAAGAGCTTATATGTAAAATTTGAGAATTAGACCTCCTCGAACAAGTTTAGAAATACATTCAAATTCAACGGTAACTTTTTTTAAAAGGAGTAAGTGCAAGTCAGTGCGTGATTTTTGCTTTGACTGTTGATGTTGAAAAGCACTACTAATGGTGTTTTTGTTAGTATATATAAAGATGAGAGGGCTGGCCTAGATTGATCCCTTGTATGCAGCCAACTCGGGTTCAATCCCTAACATCCCATATTGTCCCCTGGGCACCATTAGGAGTAATTCCTGAGTGCAGAGCCAAGAGTAACTAACTAACCCCTGAGCATCACTGGGTATGGCTCCAAAACAAAATATATAAAGACGAGTCATTTCTTTGAAATCTTTGTACTTCTAGCTATGCAGCACATATTCAGTCAAGTAATAAGGAAGAAGAGAAAATTTAGCATTCCATATTATTCCACGATGTTGAAAATAAAAATATAATAAGTCTTTAAAATGTTATGGTTACTGGTTTTACAATTTAAATTTATTAAAGTTTAGTCTAAATCTAAGGTGAATGAATTTGCAAAACTAAGGAAGTAGATTAATGCAATTAGGGTTTGCACAGTTTGGTGAAGAGCTAAAACTGCCACTGTTGGGAGCCACCCGGAGAAGTATTTAAGGTAGCAGCTAGCCTCACCGCAGAATGCAAGTAAAAGCTTCTGGATTATAGCCATAATTTAGGCTATGAGATCATTGTACAAGATGACATGATCTAAAAATGCTGTTTGCTCTCCAAAGAGATTGCAGGGAAGGGCAAATAGATTGGAATTACCAAATCTAAAAACTGATGGGAGTTGCAAATTGTTTTGAATTAAGTATAAAATATAGTAGAGACTACAAATATTGTATGCTTGTTTCTATAATTTTTTTTTCCTCTTCAATTTCTTAGCAAATTTCTGTGTTTAACTTAAGTTGATGACTATTCTGGATACTAGGATGGAGCAAGCATGGTGATGTTTTCAGTTTTCAACCTGCACAGAAAAGGAAGTGTTTCCTTTTCCTTAACTTTCAGAATGCTCCAGTCTTTTATGTTCCTTACAAGATGGGGGGAAATCATCTTTAGTGTATGGGAGGAGCTGGAGTGATAGTACAGTGGGGAGGGCCTTTGCCTTGCACATGGCCGAGCGGGGTTCGATTCCCAGCATCCCATAGGATCCCCCGAGCACCACCAGGAGTAATTCCTGAATTCAAAGCCAGGAGTAACCCCTGTGCATCGCTGGGTGTGATCCAAAAAGCAAAAATATATATATATATATAAATATATATATATATATATATATATATGGGAAGGGTTCTCAGTGATGGTGTAGCTCCTGACCTGGGTTTGACCTCAGGCACCACATATAGTCCTCTAACCCCACCAAGAGTAATTCCTGAACACAGAACTAGTAGTGTGCCCTAAAAATACTGCCAGGTGAGGAGGTAATAGAATATAGAATGGTTAGGGTATTTGACTAGCATACACTAGAACAGGTCCAATTTCTGGCACCACATGGTCCTCCAAGCTTCTCAGAGTGCTACCCTGGGACCTCCCCAACCCCTCTTCCAGCACCCAGTTAGCTGAGAATCAACGGGGGCAGGGGGTGTCCCTGGATCTCTGAGCATTGCTTGAGAAGCCCCCAAAATAAGTATAAGGAAATGTGCAAAAGCGCCCAGGGTTGTACAGTAGAAGGTAGAGATAGTGATAGAACATATGACTAGCCCAGTTGAATTCATTGAGATTTAAATAATACTGTATTGTAAATTTAAAATCTTCATAACATTTTAATTTCTATTAAAGTAGAAAGGGTTTTTTTAAAAGGAAAACTACTTTCTAAGTTAAACCTTTTACTTGTTTAATATACCTATGCAGTCAATATGCAGTTGGTGTTGAAAATTCTAGCCAGTAGGTAAAAAGTCAGACCTTTCGCACGTTTGGCTTGAAACTTTTAGCAAGAAATGAAGGTCATGAATGATGCCCATTAGTACTGTAGTTATTTTAAGTCACTAGCTACAGATACTCTGATGTCACCTTTCCTTAAGAAACTAGTCACTGTCTGCTGCATGGAAAAATATTTTCATCATCTTGGGCAGTAAGTGGGCCACAGTAATCTCAACTCATGCTCTAAAAATAAAAGCTTACACATTAAAGGTGCTTATTATGTGTTGGGCACTCTTCTAAGAAATGTTTTACATGTATTATTAATTCTCACAGTGTCTTTGTAAGGTAGATACTATTATTAACTCATTTTAACAAATGAACAAAAGTGACAGGTTAAGTAACTATTAATACAGTCAGTATAAACTGCCAGTTACATTAAAACGGTCTTTGGGGAAATCTTTAGGAATATCCTGTCTCCATTTGGAAGGGCTTCGTGTTGTCTGCTCCTTTCTTGATAGTTGCTGTACTCTTTGGTAACTTATATCATCATAAAATAAAATAATTTTCATGTTGTTCCATTAAATCTCTTGTTTTATTTCTGTTTGATAATATTCCTAAAGTAGACTTTAGGGGAGTTACTATAAGTATCAGTTTAAAAAAGCCAGGAGGAGTTCAGTAATTCATGTCAGGGTCTAATTAGCTGAATGTTTAACAGCTTTCATTTCACTTTTCTTTTACCTACCTTTTGCCATTTCCCCTAATGTAGGTTGAAATTAAGTGTTAACATATCTAGGTGTTATATTTTTAGATAATTTGAATAAAAATAGTGAAATATCCACTTATTATTGCTTCAGATGATTTTTCATGTAAGAAATCTATGTATTTTATGGCATAGATTTCTTTGCTAACATTTTAATAAGTAACAGTAAAATCATAGCAGCTGGTCTTGCCATAGTTTTTTTTCTTACCATATTTTTATTTAACCACTTTTTATTGTTTTTGATTTTGATCAGTTTTTCAAACAGGATCTCGTTTATAATATGTGCTCTATGACAGTTCAGTTACACCCTGGTCAGAACCAGTGTATTTTTTAATGTAATTACTAACATCAGATAAACCGTTTGTCTTTGGTATGATCTGGTAAAAATGGTAAACAGGAGTATAAAAATACAACTCTACGGCATTAAAATCAGTCTGTTCACTTTGTAGGGCCAGAGAGCTAGTAAGATACCTGTCTTGCACACAGTTGGCCCAGGTTTGATTCTCAGCACCCCAAATGGCCCTCCAGGCATGCCAGGAATGATCCCTAAACAAGAGAGTCAAGATTAAGCATTAAACACTGCTGGGTGTGGCTCTAAATTTTAAAATAGGCCAAAAAAATCTGTTAACATTAAATTTAGAAATGTAAAAAAATTCCTTAATTCAGGATTGCAGATTTCATTTTCTAGGCCTTGCTAAATAACAAGAGCATATTCCCCCTGGGGCGATAGCACACAGCGGTAGGGCGTTTGCCTTGCACGCAGCCAATATGGCCGACCCGAGTTCGATTCCTCCGCCCCTCTTGGAGAGCCCGGCAAGCTACCGAGAGTATCTAACCCGCAGGGTAGAGCCTGGCAAGCTACCCGTGATGTATTCAATATGCCAAACACAGTAACAACAAGTCTCACGATGGAGACGTTACTGGGCCCGCTGGAGCAAACAACGGGAGGACCGTGACCCTGACCGATATTCCCCCTAAAAATTTGCTCGTGAGAGACTGGAGTGACAGTACAACAGCGAGGCTTTGCATAAGGCTAACATCTAGGCTTTGCATAAGATGTCGCCTGGGGAGGATAAAAACTGCATCAAAACCTGATTTTGATCCGAATAACCTCAAAGACCCTGAGGGGAGATCTCCTACCTTTTTCAATCCCTCTTGTCTTCCCTTGATTCGTCCCATCCAGAGATAAACCTTGCTGTCTCTTTTGCCATATAACCACAGAACAATTTATCTTTCACAAGCGCCTTTGCTCAGTGTCACCTCAGTGAGATGTGCCTCTGACCATCCTATTTAAAGCTTACCTGCTTGAAAGAATTGCAGGAATTCAAAAATCTTTGTCCATTTTGTACAGTGATCTATCCTTAATGCACAAGATAGTCCATGGCACATGATAGTTGTTCAATTATCATGGGAGTTAAATTTTTAACTGGGTGGCAGCTTTGGGGGGTGTGCATGACTATAGGGGCTTCCAGAAATATAGGGGTTGGGGCCAGGGGGGTGGGAGTGCATCTCCAATTCTGTGAACACCTAAAGATTTCAGCCATAAAACCAGTACACCTGAAGTTTTCAGTAGATTAATTTCTGGGTAAGAATCGTAATCCTGGTGTTTTCTAAGAAGTCTTCCAGGCATTACTCTAGATGCCGTGTGATGTTAAGGATTGAACCTGAGTAGGGTACATGCAAAGTAGACTAATTCCTATACTACCCACGACCTCATGCTTTTCTTAATTATGAAATGTCCATTTTTACTGTACCCTATAATTTGAATTTCATTTTATGTCTCAGTAGAAATTCCACTTTGCAGGTGTCTTTAGGAGTCAGAATTGTGAGTTTGACTAAGACTTTCCTAAAAAATTTTATTTCTGGCATAAGTTTTATTATTTTTTTAATAATTTCATTTTAGATGATGATTGGCAAGAAGCACATGAGCGCCTGGCCGAATTGGAAGAGAAGCTACCAGTGGCAGTTAATGAACAAACAGGCAATGGAGAAAGAGATGAGATGGATTTGTTGGGTGACCATGAGGAGAATCTAGCAGAAAGACTTAGTAAAATGGTGATTGAAAATGAATTGGAAGATCCAGCTATCATGAGAGCAGTACAGACCAGGCCAGTTTTGCAAGTGAGTAAGTTACTCTGATTGGAGAACTATAGCAGATTAATAATTAAAGTGAGGCGTTGAACTTTGCCATTGTGTTTCACCTGCTAAAACAAGAGAATTATACGTGCCATGGAAATTTGTTAATAGGATTCCTGATGAAAATAATTCTGGAGTTATGTTAACAAACAGTGAGTGATATCCTAGAAGATTATACTTTGTTTTTACTCTCAATTGTTGCTTAGGCACTATGATTTACAATATTCTTAATAATAATTTTTCATGCATACAGTGTTCTAGTACCACAACTGCCACCCAACTCTCAATGTCCTTTGTCTTTCTCAGGGTCCCCTCCCACTATCTCCCTCCTTGGCAAGCAGTACTTTCTTATTTTCTTAGAGTTGAGGCTCTCTTGGAGCCCTGCTCATAAAACAGTCAGACAGACAGACACACATACATACACACACACACACACACACACACACACACACACACACACACACACACAGTAGATTAATTATACAGAGCTCCTGCACACTCAGCCCTGCTCATAAAACAGACAGGTAGACACACACACACACGCACGCACGCACGCACAGTAGATTAATTATTCAGAGCTCCTGCATTGGTCCAGACCTGTTCTATGTGTTTTCTTTTTTGTTTTCAGCCCCAACCAGGAAGCCTCAATTCTAGCATCTGGGATGGATCTGAAGTTCTGAGGCGAATTAGAGGACCACTGCTTTCTCAGGTATTTAAACATTCTTGAAGTAAATTTCCTAATGGTGAAATGCCTGTCTTCCTTTCCTTGCCGAAACAATGTATAATATATGCCATTTTAAGTTGGCCCCTTCTTTTAAGTGTTCTGTAGCTGTAACTATTGATTGTACTTTCTTGGACTCCATAGAAGTGGTTGAAAGAGGGCTATTGGAACTCAAAGTTTTTATCATTCTAGACAAATCTATAGGGTTGGTTGGAGAACAGTGGTTTTTCAGTGTTTGGGGTGGTACAGGAGTTAACTACAGAATTTCAAAAAGTGATAAAATTTACGTTATCTTTTGGTGGGTGAAGCACATTCTGTAGTGCTCGGGCTATTCTGGACCAAGTGCTCAGAGACCATCTATATGGTTCTGGATGTCCAACTCAGACATCCTACATGCAGATTGTACTCAGTCCTTTCAGCTGTCTCCTCAGCCCTATTCTGTATCTAGATTGTGGTGACAGATCTGTGAATTTATCAAAACTCAGAATTGTATACTGAAAGGGTGCGTCTCAGTGGAAATGAAATAAAAATTAAGATTGGGCGGGGGGACCCACACCAAGCAATGCTCGGAGGTAACCCCAGGCTCTGCACTTAGGAATTAATCCTGGCAATGCTTGGAAGACCATATGGGATGCCAGGGATTGAACCCAGGCATGAAAGCCCTACCCTCTGTACTATCACTCTGGCCCATAAATAAATTTTTAAACTAATTTCCTCAAGGTATTCTTGGTACCTATAGAGATTGTTAAAATATTTCAAGCTAGTTTATTTTCCTCTTTCTTCCCACTTAATTAGGAAATGCCTACAGTGTCTGTATTAGAATATGCCTTGCCTCAGAGGCCACCGCAAGGCCCAGAAGATGATCGGGATCTTTCTGAGCGTGCTCTACCAAGGCGATCAACTTCACCTATTATTGGCAGTCCTCCTGTTAGAGCTGTCCCCATAGGCACCCCGCCTAAGCAGATGGCTGTACCCAGCTTCAACCAGCAGGTACCTCTCATTAACAGGCACTCAGCCCAGGATATTGGGAATCTGGGCAAAATTATTTAGGAAATTGGTAATGCTGGGAGGTGGGTGGAAGATTTGCGTAGGCGTTAGCTTAGAAAGAAAAATAGCCAACTAGGGGAGAAGTTAGTACAAATAAGAGACACGTTCCCCGTCACCCATCACTGGTGCTGCTCCTATTGCTGCTGTCCTTTCATTGGGGGAGAAGAAAAAGGGTAGTTAACCACACTCCGTGTATCCATCCTTTTTAATGTGTTTTGCTGGCTGCCCGAAACATTGGCAGAGAGAGAACTGAAAGCTGGGGGGAGTGGGAACACACAGCACTGTCCACATCCCTTTTTACCTTTAAGATATCCCTGCTTTCCCTAGAGCCTGTGCAGTCCTGTTCCATAGACTTTCCTCCACCTGAAACCAGCAGCTGAAAAGGAAGGCCAATTTGGAAGGTATGGGGGGAGGGTGGTGTTGGTATGGCCTAGTTAGGCTCAGTATCCTCTGACACGGTGGAGCCACAGTGTATCCTGAAAGAGCTGAGCATGGCGGCCATATCACAGGGGCTTCAGAATAGGACTTAGTTAAATCCTCCAGCTTTCTTATCATTCCTTCTCCCTCACTGCTCCCAAAGTATATCCTCCCGGAAAGCATCTGTAAGTCAGGGTATCTGCTGGTACCTCCCTCAGATAGCATGGAAGGGTGGGGATAACTGGAGAATTAGCTAAATCTTCCTCAGTTAAAAGTGGCACTTTGCTTGGTATTTGCGGAAGGAAGTGACCAAGGGTTCTGTCTATGAACCCAGAGATGTAGCAATTTGCTTAGAAGTAGGGCTGTGCGTTGAGTTCTGTGTCTCTACCAGTACTTGAGGGGAGGGAGTGTAGGTGGAAGACAAACTGACTTCATTGAGTGTAGTTGTGTATGTTTGTCCTCGTAGATTCTGTGTCCGAAGCCTGTCCATGTTCGGCCCCCAATGCCACCTCGTTACCCTACTCCCTATAATGAGAGGATGTCTCCAAACCAGCTCTGCACTGTCCCGGTATGACACTGTACAACTTAATGATGTCCTTTATGTATTTTTGTATTGCTGCCTCTCTGATCTCTACTCATACGTAGATAACTCCTAAATCATGCCTATTTCTTGTTATTGCCATCCTTGAATTTCCAGATTATTTTTCTGTGGGGGCAGTTGTACCACAACCAGTGGTGTTCGGGAGCTACTCCTGACAGTTTTTAGGGATCACCATAGTGTTGCTTGGTGCCAGGGGTATAACTGGGGTCAACTTCATGTATGACAAGGACCTTTACCCCTGTGCTATTTCTACTGCCCTCAATTTCTATCTTTAAAAATTTAAATTCAGCAAGATTATCTAATTTCTTGCTAATCCCTTATTTTACTGCTTTACTTTTTTTTAGTTTTGATGTGTAATCATGGTGTTTAGAATTTCCTAGGAGCGTTCTCATATTTGTTTACTAAATAGAACAATTGTAAAATTTTTGAGAATTTCATATTCCAGTTAGTTCTCCGTTTCTGTTGCGTTCTCATCTGTCGATTTACCAGTCTCCTAACATTTTCTTTTCTTTTTTTCAGAACTCTTCCCTCCTGGGTCACCCTTTCCCTCCTAGTGTTCCTCCTGTCCTCAGCCCCCTCCAGAGAGCACAACTTCTTGGAGGAGCACAGGTAGGCCTATGGTTATTCCAGCTCAAAGTGCTCTCTCTTTCCCCAGGTTCAGTAAATGCTGTTTCTTGGATTAGCTGTTAATCGCTTCCTCCTTCCTTTTTCAAAACACAGTTGATGAAATCAGTATTTACTTTTGCGTGGCTTAAAGCAGAGGACCTTGCTGATTAAACGAATTGTAAGATCTTGTCTGCCTTTGTAGCTACAGCCTGGACGGATGTCTCCCAGCCAGTTTGCACGGGTCCCTGGATTTGTTGGTAGCCCACTTGCTGCCATGAATTCCAAGTTGCTACAAGGGCGAGTTGGGCAGATGCTTCCCCCAGCACCAGGCTTCCGTGCCTTCTTCGGTGCTCCAGCCCCTGCTACCCCACCTCCACAGCCGCACCCCCCTGGCCCAGGACCTCATCTCCAAAACCTCAGGTATCAAAGGCCACTGTCAACCATTGTCAGCCAAGTCTCTTGATCTCTTACAAAGTAGCGGTCTTAACATGACAGTACAGAAATCTTGCAGTATTTGCAGGTGGCATGTTTTAAGATGTTATTTGGTCCACAAGTTACCAGACACTGAAAATGTTTGACAGTCTCCAGACTATGTTTTGAATCACTTTTGCTTAAGTCACATGCTTCCTATGTACGTCTGCACATTCACAACTTGATTGCCTCTTAGAAAGTTTTGATAGTTTATCAGTATTGTTTTCACTAATATATGTATAAAAACGGTACCTTACCAGTTAACAAGAATTACACATATACTAAATACAGAACTACAGATTTTAGTACTCTGACAAAGGCAAAATAAATAAATAAATGTGCTAGCTAAGTTTATACAAACTTAGTGCTAGCTAAGTTTATACTAAAGTCGATTCAGATGTTTGATTATACCAAAGTGGATTCAACTTTTTACTTCTGTGAAATTGTGGATTCTTCAAAGAAACAAAATCAATAGGGTGTGAAGAGTATATGTTTACATTTTATGTTTGTGAGACAGTTTTAGGAATGCCGCGTGATTCCCCCACGTGATATGGGGGGATAACAAGTCCAAAATCCATGAAGTAGGCCATCAGGTCAGAACTAAGAGTTAAAGTTGTAGTCTTGAGTCTGAAGTTTACAGGTCAGGATATAGGAGTTGCAGGACTTTTACATTTCAACCTTTCATTACTGTTTTGGGGTCACATTGAGTGGGTCTCAAGAGCTACATCTGACTTGGTGTTTAGGGAATCATGCAGTGTTTGAACTCAGGCTTCCTGCATGGATGCATAATAAAGCATGTGTTTGGCTTATAAAGCTGACTTAAGTTTGAGCCTTAGGACAGCTTAAGTTTTGAATTCTCTCTTGGGGCTGGAGTGGTAGCACAGCGGGTAGGGCTTTTGCCTTGCATATGGCCGACCCAGGTTCGATTCCCAGCATCCCATATGGTCCCCCGAGCACCACCAGGAGTGATTCCTGAGTTCGTGAGCCAGGAGTAACCCCTGTGCATCGCCAGGTGTGACCCAAAAAAAGCAAAAAAAAAAAAAAAATTGTTTCTAATTCTCTGGGAAACCACAGTAAGTTGATGGCAGTTAAGACCATCAGCTGATTGGATGAGACCCAACAACATTATGGAGGGGCTTCTTTTTTCGTCAACTAATTGTAAATGTTAATCATGTCTATGAAGAAGCTTTAGAGAAGCATCTAAGCTAATGTTTGACCAAAGAAGGAAGAGCAGGAGAATTGGGATGGTTTGTGGGGCAGGAAAAAAAAAAAAGGAAGAGGATCCTAACCTAGCCACGTTTTTGTTATAAAATTTACTATTGCATATCTATAAATCAATAGATAGGTAGATCCCATGTCATTTCCAAATATTCAAAACTAAGAACATTGAATCTGTTTTACCCAGGGGCGGAGGGAAGCACTACTGCTTTACTGCTAATAACACTCTTACTGTTGTTGTTGTTGTTTTGGGGCTACCCCCAGCGATGCTCAGGGGTAACTCTAGGTTCTGCACACACTCCTTGCGGTACTCAGGGAACCATGCAGTATGCTGGGGATCCAATCTAGTCAGCTGCAGGCAGGGTAAACGCCTACCCACTTTACTACCTCTGCAGCCCACTGCTAATAGTTAAGCATTTACATTTATAGAACCTGCCCCCCCAAAAAATTAAAAACCCTGATTTTTCCTTCTGAAATATCTCCTCAGCATAGACTTTAACATTCCCTTAGTGAACTGTATGCATTTACCAGTTACTAATATGAAGAATGATGTGGCTCTTTCCAATTTCATGTCAGAATGATGTAATTCAAACCTTATTCCTTTTTCAGATCTCAGGCCCCAATGTTTAGACCAGACACCACTCACCTTCATCCCCAACATCGCAGACTCTTGCATCAGAGACAGCAGCAGAACAGAAAGTAAGTAACCACACTGCCTCTTCATAGATGTTCTTTCCCCACAGATCCTGTTGAGACTCCTTGCTGGTAGTGTTTCATGCATACAGTGCTCTGCCCCACGGTGTCAGCTTCTTTCCACCATTGTCCCCTGGTCCCCTCCCACGTATCCTCCAACCCACACCTTGGATTCTTAGCCAACTCTTAATTTGGGATGAGTGAGGATTGGGCCACATCCTGTGTTGTCAGTTGCTATTCCTGGCTCAGTGCTCAGGAGTGACCCCTGGAGGTGCTCAGGAATCTGTGGTGAGAGGGATTCAAACCGGGGTCTGCTGCATGCCAGAAAAGCACCGGTGCTGTCTCTCCAGCCATCAGCTCTTAATTTTGATGGAGTAACAGTAAATATAGTACTAGGCATTATGGTAATTTCAGGCATTTGATGGAAGAACAAAAGATACAAAATCCTCCTGTCTCCATGGAGATTTGTTTACATATGTAATAAAATTAAATATTGCAGCTTCGTCAGCCTTCAGTTTTATGGTTGTATGTGTGTAAAACCTTTTGGTTTCAAAGATCTTTTCTGAAGTGGGGAAAGAAAACAGGTTTTTTAAACTAAGATTTTTTAAAAATAGTTTGCTCTACCAAACTAAGATTAAAAAAATTATATATATATATATATATATGCAGTAGGGCCAAAGAGACCGTATGGGAGTAAAGTGCTTGCCTTGCATGCAACTTTGGTTGGATCCCCCAAACCACATGTGGTCCCAAGAATACCACCAGGAGTGATAAGCATCAAGCGCCACTACCCAACCCCCCTCAAAAAAAAAAAAAAAAGGTTAAGAACGGATGACTTAAATGTGACTGTTTCAGGCTTATTACTACCAGTATAGCTCTCAATATGGTGTTGGTTTGGGGAGATGTTTTTGTTGTTTTTTGTGCCACACGCGGAGGTGCTCAGGCTTACTCCTGGCTCTGCGTTCAGTGAGGGTCCATATGTGGTACCAAGGATTGAACTAGGGTTAGCCATGTACAAGGGAATTGCCTTAACCCCTGTACTGTCTCTCTAACCCCAGTGAAGTTGTATGTGTGGCGGTGGGGGATACGAGGGGCGGGGGGATATGTGTGTGTGCACCAGGGAGGAGCGTTTGATTTTTTGATTGTGCGCTTGGTAATGCTCAGGGCTTTCTCCTGCCTGTGAGCTCAGGATCACTATCCCTGACAGAGCGGGGGGTCAAATACAGGTCACCCACAGTCAAGGCAAGCTCTGCGATCTCTCCAGCCCAATAAAGTTTTCTAAAGTTTAAAACTTGAAATTTAAAACTTGAAATACACTGAACTACACTTTTAACAAAAGACATCATATGCAAATATGTAACTCCTAGATAAGGAAACATACATGACTTATAAAAATGAAAACTTTTAGGCACACTTGTTATCAGAAAAATGCATGTTAAAATATAATGACCTAATAGACATCTAAGGACTGGAACCCATAATTTGCATGCAGAATTCCTGGGCTCAGTCCCTGATTCCACATGGCCCCCCTAAAAACTTTGAAGAGCTTCCTCTTTTTTTGCATTTTTATTTTATTTTATTTATTTTTAATAGTGAGACATTATGAGGTACAGTTGCAGACTTACACACTTTTCTGCTTGGATTTCAATTATACAATGACCAAATACCCATCCATCCACCAGTGCCCACTTCCCACCACCACAGATCCCAGTATCCCTCCCACCCCCCCATCCCCCCCATCCCACCCTGCCTCTGTGGCAGGGCATTCCCTTTTGTTCTCTCTCTCTTATTGGGTGTTGTGGTTTGCAAAAGAGGCAATGGGTGACAATCATGTTTAGTCTATACTATAACACAGCGGGTAGGACATCTGCCTTGCACGTAGCCAACATGGCTGACCCGAGCTCGATTCCTCCACCCCTCTCGGAGAGCCCGGCAAGCTACCGAGAGTATTTGATATGCCAGACACAGTAACAACAAAGTCTCCAATGGAGATGTTACTGGGCCCGCTCGAGCAAGTGGATGATCAACGGGAGGGCCTTTACTTACTTACTTTTACTTACATGGAAAGTATCATGTTAAGCGAGATTAGTACCAAGAGCTTCCTCTTAACATCACTGGGTGTGGCCCCAAAAGTGAACTACAGAAAGCTGACCATTTTATACCATTGGGCACGCACAACTTGAAACAAAATGCCCTTAGCAAAAGCAGAGGGCACTCCATTGTGATCGTTCGGGGCAACATATTGTAAGGTTGAGCATTTGGATATATCGCATGGCGACAGTTCTGCTTTTCATGTATATCTGGGTAATTTGTCAGCACGAGTAAACGTTAAAGGCTGAGGTTTGAATGAAGAAGCAAGGAACAGAATTACATGTCTAGTACCATTTACGTAAACCCTAAAGGCGCACAGATTAATATCGTATACTGTCTAGCACACGACTAACAAAATCTTAAAAACATTTCAGGAAGGGGGCGGAGAGATAGCACAGTGGGTAGGGCATTTGCCTTGCACGCAGCCAACCCGGGTTTGATTCCCAGCATCCCATTATGGTCCCTTGAGCACCGCCAGAAGTAACTCCTGAGTGCAGAGCCAGGAATAACCCCTGTGCATCGCCAGGTGTGACCCAAAAAGCAAAAAAAAAAAAAAAATTCAGGAAGTACACATAACAAAGGCAGGGTAGTGGTTTCTCTAGGAAGGAAAGCTGGCAACGAATCCACACGGTCATATTTGCTGGGAGTGTAGGGGTGGGAGGCACGGCCAGGAATGGGTCCTTCCATGTAGTTCTCAGCAGGTCCCAGAATCCTTTGGTGATTCTTGGCAAACCAGCCAGCAGTATATTCAGGGGACTATGTGATACTAGGGATTGAACCAGTTTCAGCCAGGGTTGGCCACTGGCCTTCACCCCTCTACTATCTTTCCAGCTCCACAAGAGGGTCTTGAACTGTAAAGTAATGCTGTATTAGTTTGGTATTTTTAAAAAGCAGGGCCAGAAAGGTAGTACAGTGGGCAGGGCACTCATTGTGTACACAGCTGACCTCAGCTCATTTGCTGGGAGACCTCCAAACCTCTCTAGGAATAATCCCTGTGCAATACCAGGTGTGCCCCAAAAACCTAAAAATAAAAATCCAAGAGTTTTGGCTGCATAAATATCTTTCTGTTAAGTTGCAGAGCAGTACAGGGCCGCAGAAAAACAATATGTAAGGAGTTAGGTTTGAGATCTGGACCGTCCTCACCCCCAACCTCCTCAATTCCCATCATTGCCCAAGTGGCTCAGGTAAGCCCTGACACTTACTCGTTAGAGCAGCACTGATTGGTTAGTCCAAATCAAAAAAAGAAATGAAAGAAGGTTCAGGTGGTGGGTACGAGTTGTCTCATGGTATTGCTGGACGTTTCTCTGTATTAGGAGATGTCATGATTTTCTGCACTTGCCAAATTGGCCTCTGGTCAGAGAGAGCTCTTACTCCGCCACCAGGTGTACAAGTTTGGACAAGTTTCTTGAGCTCTTTCGACCTGTCTGTTGTCTGTGTGGAGAAATTAATATTGCCTGTCTCGTAGGCTTACTTTTATGTACGGTTTATACAAAAACCCATAAGTAAAAGTGCTTGCCATATAACAAAACATTTGTATCCTTATTTTCTTGATTATATACGTCATAGCATATTCCTTTTGAATTCTGTCAAGATTCCACTGGGCCAGGGAGATGCCTAAAAAACTGGAACACCTGCTTTGTATGGAGGAATCCCAGGTTCAGTCTCCTGCATCACGGTCTCTTGAGCACCATACTCAACGTAACCCTCCACAACACACACACACACACACACACACACACACACTGCCAGGTATGGCACAAAAACACAAAAATAACGCCTCCTAAAATGACCCTTTTTTATGGTGTGGTGTTAGCAGGAATTGAGCCCAGAGCTACGTCGACTACCTTCTTTTTCTTTCTTGTTGCCCTCACCAGCCTCAAACCTCTTTTTTTTCACTCTTAATGAAAGTAGTCGGGAGACTTTGGGTTTATTTCTGTATTGTTTTAAGCATAATAAATGTACCCCTTTTGGAGTGACTGTAGCCTGTATTTCTTTTTCAGTCAGCATCGGAATCTCAATGGTGCAGGAGACAGAGGAAGTCATCGGAACAGTCATCAGGATCATCTCCGGAAGGATCCTTATGCCAATCTCATGTTGCAGCGAGAAAAGGATTGGGTCTCTAAAATCCAGATGATGCAACTGCAAAGCACTGATCCCTACCTTGATGATTATTATTACCAGGCAAGTCCTCTGTTACAACATAGTTCTTTACTCTAGTCAAGGCATTCCTGAAAACAGGTGTAAAGCAGTTCAGTGATAAGCCACAATAATAAAGAATGTTACTAAAAGTGAACAAATAAATAATACACTAATATTGGTAGAATTAAGTATTGATAAGGACTGCCTTTGGAGCCAGTCTTCAGAGGGGTTAAAAAGTGACTATGAAAATTCATCTCCATTTCCAACTAGAGAGATTCATGTATTTTCCCCCTCTTGGTTTTTGGACCACAACCATTAGTACTCAGGGTCTGCTCTGGAATCCGCATCCAGGGATCACACCTGGCAGAGCTCGGAACCTCTTTGGGATGCTAGAGAGCAAACCTAGGTTGACCACATGCAAGGCAAACACCCAATACTGGGCTTTCTCTTCAGCCCCCAAGACATTATTTGATAAAGTAAGTTTATAGAAGTCTTAACAAGCTGGGGTCAGTGTCCCTGTTGCTAGTACAGAATTTTCAGGCGGAAAGAACAACCTGGAGCGATAGCACAGCGGTAGGGCGTTCGCCTTACACGCGGCCAACATGGCCGACCCGAGTTCGATTCCTCCGCCCCTCTCAGAGAGCCCGGCAAGCTACCGAGAGTATTCGATATGCCAGACACAGTAACAACAAAGTCTCCAATAGAGACGTTACTGGGCCCGCTCGAGCAAATCGACGATCAACGGGAGGGCCTTTACCTTTACCTTTAAAGAACAACCATGTTCTCTGCTTCTGTTGTGATAGAATTACTTTGAAAAACTGGAGAAACTGTCAGCTGCTGAAGAAATGCAGGGTGATGGCCCTAAAAAAGAGCGCACCAAGCTCATTACCCCTCAGGTGGCCAAACTAGAACACGCCTACAAGCCAGGTAAGTACCTATCTCTAGGCCCATAAAAGAGAAACTCGACGGGCTTCTGGTATGCTTCAGCTGAGTGGATAGAGATGTTTGAAAATGATTTATGAAGTATCGTTGCCCTTAATAAATGAGAGATTAGCCTTTATTCAAGCCTTGAATCAATGGTTTGGCAGATGATCTTTCAGAATTTATAACTTCTTATACCCTGTTACAACTTCTAGTCTCCCTAAAATGGGTAAGGAATACTTCATTTTGATTACTACTAAAAAAACAGGGGCAGATTTTGATGAGATCCTGCTTTTACATATAGTCAGTTTTTCGAATTTGTAATAGACTGTTCAATTATGCATGAAAAATTGTGTAATTTTTCTTTGAATGCTGCTTACCCACATCCCTGAGTTTTTATTTCTTGGAAATCTTTTGTCCTTGCAGTGCAATTTGAGGGCTCTTTGGGAAAACTTACTGTCTCTAGTGTGAATAATCCTCGAAAAATGATTGACGCTGTTGTGACATCTCGAAGTGAAGATGATGTAAGTGTCGGAGGAATTATTTGTTTAGTCAAGTCTAGGTCAGTCCCTGATCTTTTGAGGTTACTATGGAATGGAATTCAGCATGTTGAAGTTGTTCATAGTCTAACCTGGAGTTTCTGGTTTTCGACAGATGTGCTGAAAGATTATAGCCTCATCACTCAGAGAGCCAGGCAGGCCCTGGGGTTCTGAACAGGGTGCTCTGGCTCTAAACAGGATCTGCTACTTACTAAGTTCTGTTTGGGTTTTTTGGTCGGTTGGGTTTTTGTTTGTTCTGTGACGCAAGAAAATTTTCATTGAAGCTTTATTTAGAAATATGTGAGGGGAAAGGGGGAAGTACATGTTCAAGAGTGAACATAGACTTCTCCGGAGTGGAAAAGGCAAGCAAAGAAAGTGACAAGCACGAAAGATGTGTATACAAGGGAAAGTGTGGACTTGAAGAGCAAGTCTATTTCCTGTAGCTTTTTTTTTTTCCTTTTTGGGTCATACCCGGCGATGCACGGGGGTTTCTCCTGGCTCTGCACTCAGGAATCAACCCTGACGGTGCTCAGGGGACCATATGGGATGCTGGGAATCAAACCCGGATCAGCCGCGTGCAAGGCAAACGCCCTACCCGCTGTGCTATCGCTCCAGCCCCTCCTGTAGCTTTTAAAATAATAATTTTCTCTGTTTAAATTCTATACTGTGATAATCTGTGATAATCTTTTGTTGGGTTTGGGAGCCATACCCGGTGGTGCTCAGGGCTTACCTGGCTCTGTGCTCAAGGATCATTCCTGGTGGGCTCAGGAGACTGTATGGGGTACTGGGTCAACCATGTGCAAGGAAAACACCTGACCTGCTGTACTATCACTCCAGACCCTTGCATTCTTTAATTGTCTTTTGCCTGTGAATTCAGCCTTTATGGACATTGATCCATCAACTCTGCAACCTTTATCCACATTAGTGTTTTAGAGGCAGGTTTCTCCTCCTTAAATATTGGCATGTAGAATTTCATGTGTACATTTAGTAATTTTTAACAGGTAAGAGTTCACACTGAATATTGGTCTCTCTCTTTTTTTTTTCTTCAAGGAAACAAAAGAAAAACAGGTTCGGGACAAGAGGCGGAAAACCCTTGTCATAATTGAGAAAGTAAGTTTAGGAGTTGCTGTAGAGTTTCAAGTCAGGAACTGTCAAATGTCTTATACAATAAATAGGAAAAGAAGCAATCAAACAGTATCTGGGGTTTTATTTATTTAATTTGTTTATGTAGGAGCACTGCTGTTTATTCAGCCATTGATTAAGCTGCTTGAGTTGGGCATGAACTCCATGGTATCTGGGGTTTTAATTAATAAATATATTTTTTAAGTGGCCATTGTGTACCAGAGCACACTAGAAAGGAATGTCCACCTCCCCCCCTCGCTGACAGCTTCATGAAGAGAAACCGGCAAGTTACAGTTATAAGCTGTCCAGTTAATAGCTGGTGATTGCGGAGCAGGTCACCTTCCTAAGAAAATGAAAATAATTCAGTTCACATGTGTTTATTGAGCTCTCCTGGGTGCTGAGTACTGTGCTGAGTGGTAATGGAAATAAGAGATGAGTAATTATCATCGGTACCAGGTTGTAAGGCCATAGAGCGAGCATAGTGGCTAAAGCCCAGACTCTAGGGTCTGAGGATGAACCTGAGTGGTAGAGGCCTTGCCTACACAAGGCCCTGGACTCTAAGCAGACTCTGGAACCAGACTGCAAACCATGTCTTCCATTTTTGGACAGTATCAGTGTCTTAAGACAAGTTATTTATCCTTTCTGTGCTCTTCTCCTTTCTTCATCTGAAAGGGTAGAATTTAAAACCAGAGTTTTTTTTTTTTTACAGGGCCACTTTCTGTCTTCCATGAACAGAGTACATGCAAATTGCTTAGAACAGTACTTGGCACCACCTAGGGAAATTATCCAAAATGGTAGCATTTTTTATAAATTTGTGACATCACAGTGATGAAGAGAGTTGACAGTTGTTGCTGCTGGAAAATTTGCAGGCAGTGTAATCATTTCACTGTCATTGCATTCCAGCTAAGAATGCGTTGACGTTCTTAGCAGTGCATTCTTAGAATGTCGTTGCATTCTAAGAATGCAGTGTCCCTTTCATTGCAAAAAAAAAAAAAAGAGAGAGAGAGACAAAGAATGGGTCTGAATGGGTTTTTTGTTTGTTTAAGTTCTTTCCTAATGTTTTTTGGACTTTAAGGAGCAACTCCTCCTCTCCACCCCCACCCCCAGTCTTAATATAATGTGTTCCAGTTTTCATCTGGTAATCCTTAGCTGTAGTTATTTCCCTTACTCTACTCGGGTCCTCACTTGACACTGCCTTGCATGCTTTGTCTCCTATTTAGACGTATAGTTTACTCCTTGACGTGGAGGATTATGAAAGGCGTTATCTCCTAAGTCTAGAAGAAGAGCGACCTGCCTTGATAGATGAGAGAAAGCACAAAATCTGTAGCATGTATGACAACTTAAGGGGGAAATTACCTGGACAAGATAGGTAAGAGTTGTGCACCTCAAAAAACAAAAACAACAAAAAAACTTTAGACCGTGAGATCTGCTCAGTTCTTTCGGCTGCGCTCCCTTACTATCTCAGCAAATGCAAAGTCTTCTCTTTGGGTCGAAGAGTGCTATTTTATATCAAACATTTCATAATCCTTTCTAGCCAGAAGAAAAAAAAAGTCTTGCTATCCTGAATTCATTTCTTCAATAAATACATCTTCAGTACTTTCTAGATACTTAGGTACTGGTGCTACAGCTGGTAATTATTATTGTTTTCTGGATTTCAAACCTGTTCATGTTTACCAGCATCTTCAGCCTTATAACCTTTGATATATTTTCTTTCCTTCAAAGATGGATTTTTCTTAGATGGTTCATGTGGAAAAACTTAGTCTTCGTATAAAAATTAAACTCCCTCAGATATCTTTACCTCCATGTACCTCTCATCTCCCCCACCTAGTATCTGGAACAGAGTCTTGCTACTGGTAAACGTTCTGTTAAATGCCAAGTGTTTGCTTGATGAATACAAAAGGAGCGCGTCTTTCTATTTGTTCTTTCAAAAGAGTTGATGATAATCCTAAACATACGGGCAAGGGGGCGTGGGGGGGCATTATGCAGTTAAGCACTTTCCCACCGTACCCTCCTTACTGGAGCTCAGCTCATAGGGAACTGGTTGAATGACTGGATTTATGCAGATTGGAATGTCTGTGACCAGTTTAGGTGTCGTTGATGGGGTGGGAGCTGTGTCTCAAGAGATAGAGCACATGCCCTGTGGGGATGACCTCGGCAATAATAGTAACAACGCTTTCCGCAGCAAAAAGATATTTGAAAAATGCCTTTGTGACTATTTAGTTGTGAAAATTTAGTTGTGATTATTTCAATAAATAAGACACAGTTCAGATCTGTTTGTTGACGTGGGAAAGTGGTACCTAGCTGTTGAGTGAAAGCACTGAGGTAACAAAGCCATATTCTGTGGGCACTTTTTAAAGGAAGGGAAAACATACAAGCAGCCAAAAGGTTATTCAGAATGCTAACATGAATAAAATTCGTGCTCAAAATTACGTTTTTAATGCCCCTTTTGCATCTCTGTTATAGCTATATTAGCCACATTATTTGTGTAGTACCTAAAATTAATACAAGAGCCAGAGAGACAGTACAGCAGATAGGGTGCTGGCCTTGCACACAGCTGGTCAACCTGGGTTCAATGCCCAGCACCACCCCAAAAACCTAATAATGATAATACTGGGAACTAATACATCTAATTTGACGGTTTGACCTTTTTACTTTTTTGCTTTGCTTTGGAACCATACCCTGCTGTGCTCAGGGACCACTACTGGAGGGGTTCGGGGCACCACCTGTGGGTGCTGGGGATCGAACCTGAATCGACCACACCTGTACTGTCTCTCCAGCCTTTGACCATGTTCTTTAGAACAAAATTAGTAAGTTGTGAAACTTCAGAAATTATATGACTTGGTGAGAAGTGTGAGAAGTACATTACACTGTTATGTTGTGTAGATAATTGCAGAATCCATGCAGTGCCATGTAAAGGGGAGAGAAGGAAGATTAGCTCTTGTTGACCTAAGTTAGCATTTTTCTTCCCCAACAGGCCAAGTGATGAACACTTTGTACAGATCATGTGTATCCGAAAAGGGAAGAGAATGGTTGCCCGCATTCTTCCTTTCCTCTCCACAGAACAAGCAGCTGACATTCTCATGACAACAGCCAGAAATCTCCCTTTTCTTATCAAGAAGGATGCACAAGATGAGGTGATCTGCTGTGGGATATCTTACTTCGGGGCCTTCTGAGTTGATAAGCTTTCTGGAATTCCTATTTTGTTCGCTCCTCTCTCATCTGTGTTGCTTTGTTTAAACTTGGACACTATAATTGGATAATATACAATGTTAAATGTTATCTACTCCAGGCCTCTTTTAATCCTGCATTTTGGTGTAACAGACTGTTCCTTAACGTGAGAAAAACAGCACCCTCGTTGAAACGGAAATAGTTGTTAAAGTACTGTGGCCGTCATCAGAAAGACTTGGGAAGCAGATAATTCAGACCTTACCCCATATAAAATGAGTAGAATTTATAGGAGAAAAATCAGGGCTTCTGTTTATATAAAAAGGTCCACAGGCCGCTCTGATCCTCGCTTAAGTTTGCCAACTTCTTGTCTTGGTTACTTTGCTGGAAATAAGGTATAATATACCTTATTATAATAAGAATCTAATCACCTAAGCCACTTATTAGTAATTTTAAATTAGTCTGTTGGGGTGCACAGATGTTGTCAGGGTTCGGGTGCTTGGCTTGTATGAAAGCAACCCCAGCTCAATTCCCACCACTACACGATTCCCCAAGAATAGTTGGGTGTGGCCCCCAAAAGCAAAATGGTGTATTTTTATCATCATCTGATTTTTATGATTTTTGTCATTATCTAATGTTGACTAGAATTGTAAGCGTGATTATCATATTTGTAAGTTAACGTGTTAGAATTGCTCTCTGCTTATGACTGTAATAATACTCGATGAGCAAAGTTTAGAGTAGTTTAAAGTTTAACTAGTTTAAAGGTTACAAATTCAAAACAAGAAATTGTCAGGATTTAGGCCATGATTAGTGTAAGATTTAAAAGAAAGGTGATCTTACAATAGTGGATGATAAGTTGAGTAACAGCCATGTAGTAATTTGCAGAAAATAGACAATGCCAAGATAAGTGGTCTGGCATGATTCATTTGAAAATTTTTCCTTCCAAAGTAGTAAGAATTGAAAAGAACCTTCTTGAAATTGCAGCATCGGTAGAAGTAATATGTGAGAAGTATGAATCTCATCAGAAAAGTGGGAAAATGTTTTAGGAATAAAAAATGGATTGTAGGGCAGTTTAAGGATCTGAGGTTTATTCTAGAAAATGGAAGCTAAGACTTAGAAAATGAACTACGTTATAGCCTATAAGTTGTTATAGGCAATGAACTGGGCATTCACTAATAATCTCAGAAGAAACCATACTTAGTAACATATTTGGGAGAGATTTATTCCATCAGGAAATGCTTATTGAAAACTTATCAGGCAGTGTTTTAGGTTCTAGAAATAATAGCATCTAATTTTTGACAGTAGAAGCTAGAAATTCACAAGTGCATTTTTTTATGAAGCTTACCTGCCAGGGGACAACTTGATTAAATATCTAGAGACTAAAGTATTACTTAAATGTACTAAAGAGTAGTAGATCACATCTATAAATAATCTTTTTCTTGAAGTAATGGCTAGTCTAGGTCTGGAGCATAGTATGTACAGTGAGAATCCTGGAATAAATATCTTCATACAGAAAGTGGAGAGGCTAAAAGGATTACTAGAGTTTTGTGTAGAAAACACATAAATCAGGTTGAAGGGATCTCTGTTGGTCAGAGAAAAATGGAACTGAATTGAATATATCAAATAATTTTTAATTTATAAGTTTATAAGAGGGATGGAATGATAGCACAGCGGGTAGGGCGTTTGCCTTGCACGCTGCTGACCCAGGTTCAATTCCTCTGTCTCTCTCAGAGAGCCCAGCAAACTACCGAGAGTATCCCACCCACACAGCAAAGCCTGGCAAGCTCTCCGTGGCGTATTCGAGATGCCAGAAACAGTAACAAGTCTCACAATGGAGACGTTACTGGTACCCACTCGAGCAAATCGATGAACAACAGGACAGTGCTACAGTGCTACAGTTTATAAGAATATTAGAATACCTCCAGAGTGCTAGGATAACAACTCATAAGTCTGAAAACTGATAAATAAAAGGGAAAGATAAAGCATTCCCCTACCTTTTTATTATAATTAGATATGCATAATAACCTGACAATTGATTATGTAATATTCTTTCTAGAAGAATTTCACTAATGCCCCTAAGATTAGAAAAAATTTTTTTTTTTTTTTTGCTTTTTGAGTCATACCTGGCGATGCACAGGGGTTACTCCTGGCTCTGCACTCAGGAATCACTCCTGGCGGTTGTCAGGGGACCATATGGGATGCTGGGAATCGAACCCGGGTCGGCCGCATGCAAGGCAAACGCCCTACCCACTGTGCTATCACTCCAGCTCCAGAAAATAATTTTATAGTTCCTAAGCAAAAAGCGGTTATCAGGGTGACAAAAAGCTTTACTGGTGGTAAAAGCAGGCAGTGAAATATGGATGGGGCGCTTTAGAGTGTTGGAGCCAGCTGACAGCACCTGCTCTCACACAAATCATTTACTTTTTTGGTTTTGGGGGCCACAACTGGCAGTACTTAGGGTTTACTGGGTGCCGTATGGGATGCTGGGGATCAAACCCCACTTGACTATGTGCAAGGCAAATGGCCTTCCTGCTGTCCTGTTGCTCCGCCTCCTACAAGTCTCTTTGAATCCAACTAAGATAACCAGGTAGGACATACTATTTGACATGGTACAGTATATAACACAACTCTCTCCATGGAGTTTTTGTGTTTTCTTGTCCACTAATGATCTGGGCTGGAGCGATAGCACAGCAGTAAGGCATTTGCCTTGCAAGCCACTGGCCCGACTGAGCCAAGTTCAATTTCTCCACCCCTCTTGGAGAGCCCGGCAAGCTACCGAGAGTATCTCATCCACACGGCAAAGCCTGGCAAGCTACCCGTGATGTATTTGATGTGCCAAACACAGTAACAACAAGTCTCACAATGGAGACGTTACTGGGCCCGCTGGAGCAAATCGATGAACAGTGGGAGGACAGTGCTACAGTGCTAATGAAGAAGAATCCAGTCAAACCCCTAAGGGCAGGAAAGATGAGGATAAGGCACCTGCCTTGCTTGCAGCTGAACTCTGCCACCACCAGGAATGACCCCTGAGTGCAGATCCAGAAGTGGCCTCTGAGCTTCTCTGAAGGTGCCACCCCATATACTCCTGCCAATAAAATGACCTCTAGTTCTAAGTACCAATTTTTGTAGGAAAAAGAAAAATAGTGGAGCTTGTTAAGTGATACAACAGGTAGAATCAGCCGGGTCCAGAAAGTTGGGTTGGTGACTTAAAGCATTTAAACCCACATGCACTAGGCGGAAAGTTCGGGCCCAACCTCAAGACTATCTTGACAATGCTGCTTTGATACTCCCTTTGTGATTCCTGCAAGAAAAACCGGCAAGATTGTTCATGAACTTAAAAACGCACATAAAACCAGCATGAGGCCATAACCTTAAATTCTTGTTAGTGCCACCGCTTTGAGGCAGCCCTGACAGCCCCACTGTCTGAGATCACTGGGGGCAGGGGTAGACGTAGAACAAGAAAGGGAGATAGATGAACAGCAACAAATCTGTTAGCAGGTTTAGAAGCATTACCAGCTAGATCAGATACCAAGCTGTGGGTTTGTTTGATTCTTTTTTTTTGGGGGGGGGGGGTGCAGTGTCGGCTTAGAGTAAGTGATGCCCACTTTATTTTTGTTTTGTTTTGTTTTAATTTTTATTAGTGAAACACCATGAGGTACAGTTGTAGACTTACAAATTTTGTGCTTGGATTTCAGTTATACAATGATCAAGTACCCATCCCTCTACCAGTGCCCATTTTCTACCACCACCGGTCCCAGTATCCCTTCCACCCCCCATCCCCCCATCCCACCCTACCTCTGGCAGGGCATTCCCTTTTGTTCTCTCTCTCCTTTTGGGTGCTGTGGTTTGCAAAAGAGGCATTGAGTGGCAATCATGTTCGGTCTATAGTCTACTTTCAGCATGCCTCTCCCATCCTGGGAGGATCCTCCGAACACCCTTTATTTGGTGCTCCCTTCTCTATCTGAGCTCCCTTTTCCCCTAGCATGTGTGTCTGGCCTCCAAGCCATGGAGTAAAATTCCTGGTACTAATCTCGGCCACTCTTGAGTGTTAGTGTCCTATTTTGTTGGATTTGTTTGATTCTTGGTTAGCTTAATCAGCTGCAAAAGACCTTTCATTTTTTTTACTTTTTTATTTTTTTGAAAGAAAATTACTATAGGAGCCAGAGAGACAGTACAGCGCTTGTCTTGGAGGCAAATAAGACAGGCTCAATCCCGAGCACCATTTATGGTTCCCTAAGCACCATCAGGAGTCATCCCTGAGTGCAGAACCAGAAGTAAGCCCTGAGCACAGCTGGGTGTGGCCACACTCAGAGAGGGGGGCGGGGGTGTGGAGGAGAAGAGGAGGAGAGAGAGTGTGAGTGTATAGGGGTCAAGGCTCTTGCCTTGCATTCAGCCGACCCTGGTTCCATCCCTGGAACCATATGTGATCTCCCAAACAACAGTGCAAGTAGCTCCTGAGTATGGCCCAAAGTAAATATTGGTCGCAGAGTGGTACAGACGGTACGGCATTTGCCCTTGCACATAGCCAACCCTGGTTCAATCTCCAGCATTCCATACAGTCCCCCGAGCACCACCAGGAATAATTTTTGAGTGCAGAGCCAGAAGTTACCTCTGAGCACCACAGGGTATGCCCCCAAATCCAAAAACAAATACAAAGGAAAATTATGAATTTATTGGGTGTGACATTTTAAGGAACTTTGTTTAGAGACACAAAGTATTTATGGAAATATGGATAAGACAATAATTACAATTAGCAAAATTTAATTGAAGTCAGATGATGGGTATGTGGTCAGATGATAAGTATGTGGGCCTCATTCGCTTAATCACTTAATTTCCCATTAGTCGTCAATTTGCTCGAGCAAGCGCCAGTAACGTCTCCATTTGTCCCTGTCGCGTGCTAGTGTAGCCCAATGGCATCTGTTCGCTCTGGGAACATGAAGAGCCTCAAACCTATCATTCATGATCTTGATGAATTTTGTTTGCTTGGGGGTCACACTTAGCAGAACTCGGAGGTCACTTGAGTACGATGTCAGATCAAACCCAGGCCTCCTGCATCAAAGCATGTGCTCCAGCCCATTGAGTCCTCTGCCTCCAAAAACGCTTCATTTTTAAAACTGTTTTATTTAAATTAGTAGATTATAGAATTAGCCTACTCTGTGTCCTTGAAGGCTGTTTAAAGCAATATTGTTAACTTTTCATATCATGGGTACTGTGTAACTGGAAGCACTCTTGATTTACTTTTGTGTTATAACCTAGTTAGCCCTGTCTTTTTTTTTTTTTTTCGGATCACACCTGGCAATGCTCAGGGGTTACTCCTGGCTTTGCCCTCAGGAATCACTCCTGGCAGTGCTCAGGACACCATACAAGACACTGGGAATCGAACCTGGGTCGGCTGCGTGCAAAGCAAACGCCGTACCCACTGTGCTATCACTCCAGCCCCTAGCCTGTCTTTTAACTTTCCACTCTGAGCCTGATGGCAAACAACGAATAAGTGACACACGTAGCCTTGGGTTTAGACCCTAGCCACTGGCTTTATAACTCGGCATTGAGCTTCAGATCACGTATCTTCACTAATGATACACAAAAATTGGGCTATTACTTCCTCATCAAGTTTATATAGAATTTTTAGAAAAGATAGTTACCTGAGAATACTTTCTGATAACTCTGTAATATTCAGAATTTACCTGTCATAGACTATTTCTCACAATATATTGGAACTGCCAGTTGATTCATTTCTTCCCCGTACAACTTTGGATTCCCAAGTCTGTGGCCTGTTTCCTTTTTTCCTTTTTAAACTGTCTGGCACATTGTAGGCACTTTGGTATTTGTAGAATAAAATACTGATGTTTATCGTGAATCTTGCTGTGTATACGAGAAGTGAGTTTGCACCCTCGGTTCACACAAGTCAGGGCATTTCCTGTGCAAACTGAGTTGTATACAAGTTCTCAGTAGATAACCTTAGAATCTACATGAAGGGGACAGTCACGTCCACTAGACTTGTTAGCCTTTGTTAGCTCTTGCCTAGGGTGGCAGAGTGTAGATCTGATCATCTTTCCATCTGTCCCCACTGCTAAAAAGTGACTGTGGTTAAGAGGTGCCATAATGTAACGCTCCTCTTTTTTGTTGTAGGTGCTGCCATGCTTATTGAGTCCCTTCTCTCTCCTCCTGTATCATCTTCCGTCAGTGACTGTCACCAGCCTTCTGCAACAGCTGATGAACCTACCTCAGAGTGCAGCTGCACCAGCACCTTCCAATCCTCACCTCGCTGCTGTGCTCCAGAACAAGGTGCTCATTCCCGTCTAGATCCCTGCCGCCTCTGAATTAGACTTAAGTTATGATGCCTGTGGCAATGAGTAGGAAAGGCTCCTTTTTAGTCCGGAATCACATTCAGTTCTTAGTGACAGAGACTAGTAATAAGAGCGGTTTCATTCAGTAAAATAGAATTTTGTGTGTCCTATAGAATAAGTCTAGCTTATCAGGGGGCCTCATGGTGTTGTCTGGGACCCAGAGTCCTTCCATTGACGTCAAGTATCATTGGCATCGAACACCATGGCGCACGACCTCTCCAGGCTCTTGATGGTTCTAAAAGTCAAGGTTCCATTTGAGGCAAGTGTCTTGCATCAAAAAAAGAGGTGCAGGGGGCTGGAGCAATAGCACAGCAGGCAGGGCGTTTGCCTTGCACGCGGCCAACCCGGTTTTGGTTCCCAGCATCCCATATGGTCCCCTAAGTACCACAAGGGATAATTCCTGAGTGCAGAGCCAGGAGTAACCCCTGTGCATCACCAGGTGTAACCCAAAAGGCAAAAAAAAAGGTGCAGGATCCAAGAGACAGTACAGCAGGTAAGGCACTTGCCTTGAACTCGGCCAACCTGGGTTGCATCCCCAACATCCCATATTGTCCTCTGAGCACACCAAGAGTGATCCCTGAGTGCAGAGCCAGGAGTAAGCTCTGCGCATCACTGGGTGTAGCCCAGAAACAAAGGGACCAGGGGGTATAGATTGTCTTCCTTGTTGTGACCTTTTCTAGAAGTTCTAACAAAACACTTTTAAATCTCAATGACAAGGATTTAATAGTCCTATTAGAAAAGCAGGAAGACATTTTTTCATTCCTGTCATTGTCAGTAAATATGAAACGGAGTGTGAGTAATGAGAAGGATACTTATTAGATTGGTTATTAGCAGTTTCTGTTTAAAGACTATAGTTGAGCCCATTTCATCTTTCACTGTTACCATATATTCAGAGACTCCAGGGAAACAAGCTAGAAGAAAGTACATGAGCTTTCAGACATTCCTTGCCTGCTGCTCTCGAGGTTGATGACCTGGAGATGATTACACTCTGTTGAGCCAGTTTCCCTTTCTATAACATGGAGATGTTGCCACTGACTTCAGAGTTGTTCATTACTTACATAATGCGCAAGAGGCCATACACATTTCTGTAAACAAGTCCTTCTATAATGTTGATGAGAAGTTAAAAAAAAAATAAGGGGCCAGAGCGATAGTGCAGTGGGTAGAGCACTTCCCTTGCACACAGCCAATTCGAACCCCAGCATCCCATATGGTCTTCTTTGCACCACTAGTGGTGATTCCTCTATGCAGAACCAGGAAAAATCCCTGAGCACCGCCAGGGGTAAACCCCAAAAAAGCAAAAACCAGAACAAAACAATTTTAATTCTTCATCAGTGGCCACTTTTGGTGGAGTTCCTCCCATACTGCCCTTGTCATTTTTTCTGAGTACTGCTACTTCCTCCCACATCCTACAGATGAGTACCTGAGGCTCATCAGTGTGACTCGGGGGTCCCACTCAGTGAGTGTAGGTGTACGTGATGAGACCTGTGATGGAAGGACATCCCGTCCAAGATTGGGTCCCTTCATGCACGCTGAGCTATGGAAATAGGTTCCAGTCACCGATGACAACAAGATGAAATAAGCAGTTTGAGGGGAAAAAAATATTCACAATACAAACAGTTGTGTCATGTTAGAAGAATTCTACATTTTTGTTCAGAAGTTTGGTGATGGCTCTTTGCCCAAATGTACATACAACGCATGAGCTTTATTCCAAACAACCTGGAGTAAAATTGGTTTCATTACGTCATTTGCTTCAGAGCCTGTTTCTGAGGACCTGTCTACACTGGTCAGGCCTCACTGTAGTGCCTGGTAGTGAGTAACAGCCAGCTGCTACAGGAGAATGAAAAAGACATCTGAATGCCCCTCTCTCTCTTGCATCTGAAACCTAACAAAGCATGGCCCTGAGGGACAGTTTCTCAAAAGCTGACAATGATGACATCACCAGAGGGGACATAAGTTGGGGGATCTAAGGCCAGAGAGATAGTACAGCAGGAAAGGTGTTTTTCTTGTACTTGGCTGACCTAGGTTCAATCCCCGGCACCCCTCAATAGTCCTCAGAGCCCACCAGGAGTAACCCCTGAGCGCCAGGGGTTAGCCCTGAGCACAGCAGGTTGTGGCCAAAAAAAAAAAAAAAAACCGAACAACCCCCACAAAAAGGGATAATACACGCTTTCTGTGTCATTGGCTCTTTCGGTTTGGTTTTAGGGTTTTTTGGAACACCCTAGTGGTGTTTGTGGGTCACTCAGCCCAGTGTCTCTCTGTCCTTAGCTTTTTCCATTTTTATTTTGAGGAAGGAAAGCAATACCAGACCATGCGATCAGACAAGATATATATGTAGCCCGGTGTGTTTCTGATAATAACATGAAGGTGACTTTCATGAAAAGGCAGGTTTATTCTCTCTGAGGTAAACTTAGAAAGGTAGGGTGGAATTCAGAACCATCCCTCCCTGTCCTTTATGATCTTTTCTAGCTAGGACTTGGACATTTAACCTGAGATTTGTCCCAGTTTGCATTTTCATTGTATGTTTCCCTTGTACACCCACCCCCCCCCCAAGCTGGTGCCAGAGATCACACCCAGGGCCTCACATATGCAAAGCATGTTTTCTACCTCTGAGAATATCACCAACCTCACATGCCCCTTTGACTACGAGTTTCCTGATTTGACTTTATTTACTGGATAAAAAAAATACATTTTTAATCATTTTGATCTCAAAAGGTGCTGCTGAATTTTATTTATTTATTTGGGCTGGAGCCATAGCACAGCAGGTAGGGCGTTTGCCTTGCACGTGGCCAACCTGGGTTCCAATTCCTCTGCCCCTCTCGGAGAGCCCAGCAAGCTACCGAGAGTATTTTGCCCACACTATATGCCGAAAACAGTAACAGCAAGTCTCACAATTTGTTGTGAGATGTTACTGGTGCCCACTAGAGCAAATCAATGAACATGCAGAATAAGGTAAAGGTAAAGGTAAAGGCCCTCCCGTTGATCGTCGATTTGCTCGAGCGGGCCCAGTAACGTCTCCATTGGAGACTTTGTTGTTACTGTGTCTGGCATATCGAATACTCTCGGTAGCTTGCCGGGCTCTCCGAGAGGGGCGGAGGAATCGAACTCGGGTCGGCCATGTTGGCCGCTTGTAAGGCGAACGCCCTACCCGCTGTGCTATCGCTCCAGCCCTCTAAAGAGTAAAGGCCCTCCCGTTGATCATCGATTTGCTCGAGCGGGCCCAGTAACGTCTCCATTGGAGACTTTGTTGTTACTGTGTCTGGCATATCGAATACTCTCGGTAGCTTGCCGGGCTCTCCGAGAGGGGCGGAGGAATCGTACTCGGGTCGGCCATGTTGGCCGCTTGTAAGGCAAACGCCCTACCCGCTGTGCTATCGCTCCAGCTGGCAACATGCAGAATACACTGCATTTATTTTTATTTATTTATTTTGCCTTTTGTTTTTTTTGTTTTTTTTTTTTTTTTTTTGCTTTTTTGGGTCACACCCAGCAATGCACAGAAGTTACTCCTGGCTCTGCGTGCAGAAATTACTCTTAGCAGTGCTCAGGGAACCATGTGGGATGCTGGGGATCGAACCCGGGTTGGCCGCAAATGCCCTCCCCACCGTACTCTCGCTCCAGCTCCTGAATTTTAATAATCGTAGGTCTTCTGAATATATCCATATATTCACTTTTTTTCCCCCTTTTTTGGCTTTTGAGCCACACCCAGGCTCAGGATTTACTCCAGCATGGTGCTCAGGAGCACTGTGGTCCCAGGGATTGGCTGCAGGCCTCCTCCGTGCACGCCATGTACCCCAGCCTTCGTACTCTTTCCCTGGCCACTGTTCTTTTATTTTTCAAACTTACATTAATACCCTTTTTGAGACTTTGTATGTCCTGGGGTTGTCTTTTGGAGGGGGGGGGGGGCCTATGGACTCTATGGGCTAGATGGCTCAGTACTTGGCCCTGAGGATGCAGTGCTGATCAAATTCTGTGGTGCCAGGGACCTCCAGGTAATGCTGGCAGTGCTTGGGAGCCTTCACAGTCGTACCCACCGGTGCGCACTGCGACCGTGCAGTGAGATGCTGGGGATCAAACCAGGACTTGGTCACATGCAAAAAGCATGCCTCCCTAACCTTGCGCTATCTTCCCAGTTAGGTTTTGTTGTTGTTGTTGTTGTTGTTGTTTTAATAATGCACTGTAGCACTGTCCTCCCATTGTTCATCGATTTCCTCGAGTGAGCCCAGTAACATCTCCATTGTGAGACTTTTTACTGTGTTTGGCATATCGAACACGTCACAGGGAGCTTGCCAGGCTTTGTTGTGCGTGCGAGATACTCTCGGTAGCTTGCCAGGCTCTCCGAGAGGGGTTTTAATATAGCCATGTTTAATCAGAGGAAAGGCACACCTGGCAGTGGTTGGGACCATGCAGTTCCAGGAATCAGACTAGGGTCAGCAGCATAGCATGCAAGGCAAGCACTTGAATCGCATACTGTGTCTCCAGCATGTACCACAACCTCCCCCCCACACACATACCTGCATCTTTTTTTTTCTGGGCAGGGTGGAGGGGTCACACCCAGCAATGCTCAAGGGTTACTCCTGGCTCTGCACTCAGAAATTACTCCTGGCGGTGTTCAAGGGACCATATGGACCATATGAATCGAACCTGGGCAAACGCTCTACCCACTGTGCTATCACTCCAGCCCCTGTATCTTTTTTTTTAAGGAAATTTTCTTTCCACACTGGTCCTCTGTGTTTTTCTAGAGGCTTTCATCCCTTTTTTCTTAGTTTAAAACATACTAATCTGGGGTTTTTTGGTTTTGTTTTTTTTTTTGTGGGGGAGGGCATTGTTTGTTTTTTTAAATTTTTTCATGAATTTCACCATCCTATATCAAAATTTATCTTGGTTTGACTTTTTTTTTAATCCACCTCTATTCTGGTAAATAGAAGGAAAACCAAATTTTACAGCAGAGGAGGGGAAAGCCTCTTTCTATCTCATGGTAGAGTGGCAGAACTGAGTCTTTACTACATTGACCAGATAGAAATAAAGCCAGAATCGAAAGACATGATTATATCTTGGCCCCGTTTCACAGAAGAGTAGGGCTGTGGTTATCATTTTGATGTAGCACTATTCCCATCTAATGCCGTCCTCCCCTCAACCACTGGGGGTGCTGGAGAGCTAAATGGATGCTATTCTGAATTTGATTCCCTCTGTCGTCTTTCGTAGTTTGGCCTGTCACTGCTCCTTGTCATCCTGAGCCGTGGGGAAGACCTACAGAGTTCAGAACCTGCTCCAGAATTAACGCAAAACAACCAATGGTCAGTGTGGACTCGACTTCTCACTGCAATTTCTATAGGCAGTCTTTGTGTTCTTTAGGTCACGATGTGATCCTTGTTTTCCTCCCCCCTCAGGACGGAGGTAATGTTCATGGCTACCCGAGAACTTCTGCGGATCCCACAAGCAGCCCTGGCCAAGCCCATCTCCATACCCACAAACCTAGTATCACTCTTTTCTCGCTATGTCGACCGTCAGAAACTGAACTTGCTGGAGACAAAACTGCAGTAAGTTTAAAATAATACACTTCCATATCTCATCAAGTTCATGTTTTAGGTTACAGAGTTATGAACAGGGGTGCTGGAGTGATTTACAGTGAGTAGGGCACTTGCCTGGCATGTGGCCGACCGAGACTCAGTCCCTGGCGTCCCATGTTGTCCCTTGAGTACCCACCAGGAGTGATTCCTGGGTTTTGTCAGGTGTGGCCCAGAAGCAAAAAATAAAAATAAAAAGTTTAATTTATAAACAGATCAGGGGGCAAAAAAACTGAGTTTAGTGGAAGACATCAATGATTTCTATTAATATCAATATCTGCTAGATACAAAACACTCAACTCAGAGCCAGAGAGAGTAGAGCAGATAGAGCAGATGGGACTCCTTCCTCGCGTGCAGCAGAGCTGGCTTCAGTCCCCTGCAGTGCCAGGAGTGATCCCTGAGCGCAGAGCCAAGAGTATAGCCAAGTTCTCCTGGTTCATTGACTGCTAAGCAGAGAGCAGTATCACTATTTCATTATTAAAGAATTCACTGAAGGGCCGGAGTGATAGCACAACAGGTAAGGTGTTTGCCTTGCACGTGGCTGACCCGGATTCGGTCCCCAGCATCCCATATGTTCCCCCAAGCACCGCCAGGAGTAATTCCTGAGTGCAGAGCCAGGAGTCACCCCTGAGCATTGCTGGTTGTGACCCAGAAAGCCAAAAAAGTAAAAGAATTCATTGAAGAATACCATTTCGGTGCTAAAATATATTCATTCATTTATGCAAACAATTTTTTTTTCTTATTTCTACCCCTAGGCTAGTTCAGGGGATCCGATAAAGAGACCTTCAGATGTGTCCCGTACCTCCTTTTGGCTGTCACCTGCACTGCTGCCATCACCAGTGGAGTGTTTTGAATGCGGGAGGGAAGGCCGCTGACTCCCCAGAGCGTCTCATGGGCCTGCTGCCCGTCGGCAGGGGTCTCTCGGTGCCCGGTGTTGCCCCACTGCTCTGAAATTTGGCTGGGTGATACTTCTGCTGGTTTCTTCTTACCTACTGTGTTACAATTCTGCATGTCCTACTTTTACTAAATTCTTCCCAATTTTGCAGAGATTTTTGTTTTTGTTTTTTGTTTTTTTGCCCTAGAGACACAAATATAATCTCTCCCTTTATCCCACCATCACTACTCCAGTTGAGAGTAGATTGTAGCCTGCCAAAGGATTCCTTCCCTCATCCTATTGAAGTCTTATTGTCCCATATTAATATTAATATGACTATAGGAAAGCCAATTAAGTAGAAATACACATATATACATATATGCCCAGGTATATGTATATATACACACACGTTCCTATATATGTTTATGTGGTATTCCGAGGATCCTTTTAAAGAATCAGTTTTAGATTGAAAATTCTTTAGTTGACACATCACTCCTCCGAACGAAACCCAAAACCAGCTGATATATTTTTTTAACTATTTCTAGTCCATCTTGTAATTAATTTGGTGGGTTCTACTTGTTTTAATATTAATACAGGGTATGCAGCACATCTAATAAAATCGAAACTTTTTAATTGGCTGCTGCCCAGCTCTAGACTGAACGTCCTCACACCCCACCCCACCTCCCCACCACCCCCCACTTCCTTTCTGTCCACTTCAGTGGAGACAGCACACGGTTAAGTCTTTTTTCTGGTACAACTACAGTGTATTGAGTCTGTTTCCTTTAGGGCAGACAAGATTGCCCAAGATGACCTTGACTTACAGTCTGCTTCCATGGTGTAGCTTTTGCACACTTACTCTTGTCTTCCTCAGACTACTTCAGTAAGCCATGCTTTTCCTTCCCTCTGCCCCTCACCCCCACCCCACCTCCTCTTTTTTTTTTCTTTTTAATTTTTTGGTGCCATGGATAGAAAACTCCAAGCATAGCCACGGAGGCTCACTTTGCGTGCTTGGCCCATCTGTCTCCACCACACCATGGGCAGAATTACTGTCGCTGCTACTTAATCTCACCCAAGTCCCACTCCCAGGCAAGCCTGGGGCCTGGGTTTGAAGCCCAGCAGGGGCAGCTTGCTCTGATTCTTTCTACTAACCCCTCTTCCAGCAATCAACCAGGATATGGGATTTTGATCCCTAGTGATTACAGCCTTCAAGAAAATGAAATCTGAATTAATTTTATATGACAGTCCTAGAACTTTTTGCTGTTCTCACCTTTTCGAATGTAGTAGAGGGGACAAGTTATATATAAAGAGAATAAACATTTTGCACATACATGTATTGTACAACAGTAAACTCCTCCGTTATAACCAGCTGTCCTTGTTCTCCATCTCCGTTCCTCCCCACTCTGTCACCCCAGGCTCCACCAGCTCTTCCCCAGTGATGTAACCTCGTTTCCCTCTGCCATAATCTACTGACTCTCCACCAGGCGCCTTCCCTACTCTTCCTTCACAACTGATCGAGTGAATACTTGATTATTATTTCTTCCTTTCTGTGCTTTATCTTTTCGTTTGGTTCTAATAAAAATTAAAGTTTCTAAATTTACATTTTTATAGGGTATTGTAAATAAAAACAAATTGTATACTTGAAAAAAAAATGTGTGCCTCCATTTCTACTTTCTTGTTCATTCTGAATTTGACTTTTAACATGCTTCTAGCATATTTCCAGAGACTAGCAAACATCTTGATGATGGGGTTTGCTAACAGTATTATTGCCTAATGCTTTTTGACCTTCCTTTTGTAAGAAGAGAGAGAGATAAAGATCTTTTGTTTTCATAGTTACTTTTCTTTAAAACGGAGGGTGTCAGGGCCAAAGAGCTAGTGAATACAGTGGATAGGGATTGAATCCCTGGAATCCTGTATGGTCCCCCAAGCCCCACCAGAAGTGATGCCTGAGTGCAGAGCCAGGAGTAAGCCCTGCTTGAGCCTCTTGAGTATGGCCCCCAAATGAAAATTTAAAAATAATAAAATCAGAGGGGTTTTCAAGGGCCAAGGAAGTCAGCTCAATGGGTTGGAATATAGATACCTTCCATCTACCTGAATTTGATCTTCAGTGACCACTTGGAGGCCCCCCAGCACTACTGGTATATCTCTGATAACTTAAGCATCACCAGGTGTGGCCCTAGTAGCTAATGGACCTAAGTAATACAGCCTATCTGTACAACTGGGCTAAATATCACTGGCAGTTACCTAAGCTATCATTTTTAAAAGAATTATAAAAATAAATGGGGGGATGGGGCGGGGGAGGCAGAGCAATAGTACAGCGGGTAGGGCAATTCCCTTGCACCAGACAAACTTACCCTTGCGTGAAGCCCAACCTGTGTTGGATCCCTGGCACCCCGGGTGATGCATTCTTGAGCGCAGATGCAGGAGAAAGGCCTGAGCACTGTCAGCTGTGACCCAGAGCACACACCAAAGAAATTTAATGATTAAGATGGTGAGAAAAAATTGTCATAAAATCTGACGTAATGCAGTGAAATAAGATACTCAAGTGTGCTTTGACCTGTGTCAGGTGGCTTTCTTCAGAATTGGACCCTCTCGATGTGTCAAGTAGCAGTGTGAAGGATGATGGTATCCTACCTCTTGTGCCAGCTCTATTTAAATCTGATTATCAGAAATCCAAATTCGCGTGGCAGCTATATTGGCCACACGACATCATATGCTCTTCATAATCGGCGATAGAAAACAAATTATCTAATGATGTCTTTTTGGCAGGTCTGAATGTTGGGGAAAATTCCAAGTAATAATGTTGGGTCTTTTGTCGTAATATTGAATGTGATCAACATAGAGAGAGTAAAGTGGAAATCTGCCACACAGGTGGGAGGTGGGTGGGAGGGGGTTATACTGGGGTTCTTGGTGGTGGAAAATGTGCACTGGTGAAGCGATGGGTGTTTGATTGTTGTATGACTGACCGAGACTTGAACTGAAAGGCTTTGTGACTGTTTTCACAGTGATTCAATAAATTAAAAAAAAAAAAATGAGTTAAGGGGGGGAAATGAGTTAAGGGGCTGGAGCGATAGTACAGCAGGTAGGGTGTTTGCCTTGCACGCGGCCGACCCGAGTTCGATCCCCAGCATCCCATATGGTCACCTGAGCACTGCCAGGAGTAATTCCTGAGTACAAAGCCAGAAGTAACTCCTGAGTGCTGCCACGAGTAATTCCTGAGTGCAAAGCCAAAAGTAACCGGGTGTGACCCAAAAAGAAAAAAAAAAAAGAGTTGAGTGGCTTTTTGAAAGTATGTCTTTCACTTGAGAAATAAGAATCTTAAAATCACCTGATAGCAGTGGCTTTTTGTTGTTATTTTGTACTGGGTGTGGGTGGAATGTAGTTCCTGGATTGAACTCGGCCTTGCAGTACTGAGTATGTGTTTTACTTTCTGAACCATGTTCCTGGTCTGTAGTTGCTTTGGATCTCTGAAGCATCGAGGGGGACACATCCATTGATGCTCAGGGCCTATTCCTGGCTCTGTGTTTAGTGTCACTGTGGTGCTGAGGGGGTTTCATTTGGTTCTGGGCATCAAACCTGGGTCAGCTCAGGCACGGCAAGAACTTACCCCCTGCACACTCTTCAACCCTGTTTTGACCTTTTCCTGTTTTGCATACCTCACACGTGAGTACATTGCAGGTGTCATAATAGCCTCTGGTTGGCTCTTTTATTTTGCAAAGATTACACATAAAACTGGCCCAAAGAGCAGTCCCCACAATTGCACAGGGTCCCTGAGCCACGCCGGGAGTGATCCAGAGCACAGAGCCAGGAGTAAGCGTTGAGCACCACCAGTGTGGCCCAAAGGACGTTTTAAAAATAACATCTCCACGTGCTCCCTATGTTGATTGCCACAAAATGCACACAAGGATGTTTGTCTTGCTCTCTAGGAGGAACCGTTTCCGTCCTGATCCGAAAGCAGGGGGTTGAATGACCTCCCCTGAGACTGCTGAGCCTCGTCTCATACAAGGGCCATTTCCCCCTCGCTCTTCCGTCCTTCTAATTCCAGCAAATTTCATCACCCTGCTGTACATAAGTGAAGGAAAGAGGAAGGTCAAAGGACAAGGGATAACCTTTTGCTCTAGGAAAAGTGAGATGGCAAACGAGGCTCTTCTAGTAAAGAGAAAATGGAGTTTATACTCAAAGCTCATTTCCACTGCTCAACACAGCCCCTGGAATTAACAGGCGTTAAGAATTGTGTGCGGGGGCTGGAGTAATAGCACAGCGGGTAGGGCATTTGCCTTGCACACGGCCAACCCGGGTTCGATTCCCAGCATCCCATATGGTCCCCTGAGCACTGCCAGGGGTAATTCCTGAGTGTAGAGCCAGGAGTAACCCCTGTGCATTGCCCGGTGTGACCCAAAAAGCAAAATAAATCTGATCGCTGTCTTAAATTTTTAAAAAAAGAAAGAATTCTGTGGGCTATGACAATGATAATTGGAAATGATCACTGGACAAGAATTGAGTGCTGAAAGGAGGTAAAATGATAAACATGATACTCAGTAACAGTATTGCAAAACACAGGCCCAAAGGGGGAGACAGAGGAGAAATTTGCCGTATACAGAGGCAGGCTAGGGTGGGGAGTTAGAGGGAAACTTGGGATATCGGTGGTGGGAAATCAGCAAAGGGACAGGTGTTGGAACATTGTATGACTGAAACCCAGTCTTGAAGAATTGTGTGAAGGGTCAGAACAATAGTACAGTGGGTAGGGCACTTGCCTGCAACTAACCCTAACCTAGGGTCCATCCCCAGAACCCTATATGATCCCCATAGCTCCACCAGGAGAGATCCATGGGCACAGAGCCAGAAGCCCTGAGTGTGTGGCCTGAAATGAATGAGTAATGTTCATTTCATTACTACACCATGCCTGTAGTAAACATGCCGGGTTTGCAACCAAATATATTACTGTTTCCCAGGTGTTAAGTTTGGTTTTTTTTTTTCATGTAGGTTAAGGAAACCCCATAAGGTATGTCTTTACCTATGAAAAGGGGGAAGGT